CTGTTTTCTTTTCTTCTTTTGATTTCATAATTTTCATTTTTATTGTTGTTTAATTTTATTTTATTCTCTCGTTTTATTCTCCATTTCTTCTTTATTATATTCATTTTATATTTTATATTAGTTATTTTCATCATATATTCATTTATTAATTTTTGTTTAATTCATATTTTATTATTTACAATATATTTTATTATTATAACTTCATTTGTTGTTATTTTATAATAATAAGTTTCATATCATTTGTCATTTAATGTGTTTATTAATTTATTCATTTCATACAAAGAATATTAATTTTTTACATTATTTTCATTGTTTATATTCATTTCTTTTTATATTATTATTATTTATTATTTATTTGTCATTTTCTTATTATTTCATTATCATTGTATTTTATTAATTGCTTATTCACTTCTTTGTTGATTCTCATAATCATATTTATTGAATATCCTACTTGAATTATGGTATTTGTAGTTTTAATAAGTACTTTTATTTTTACTATAAATGTGTTTAAATGAGAATTAATTATGATGTTTATAATTTATGATAATTAGTAATAAAGTGATTGTTAATACTATTTGTTTGATAATTATTATGAATATAACCATGACAATTTTATATAAATCTATTTTTTGGTGTAAAATATGTTTATGTGGTTTACTTGACATTCATGCGATGTAGTAAAAAATTTGTAGAAAAACATAAAAATGATAAAACAAAGAAGTATTTCAAAATAATAAAACTAACAGATGAATAACAATAAATAAAGAAACAATACTAATCTTAAAATATCTATAAATCAACAATTGGTTCGAATGTTGTACTATCTTTGCACAAATTGGAGAATGGTACTTATTGATATTAATAAATAACAGAGAAAAAGAATTTTTATTAACTTAAACAGTTACAATACTGGAGGGGTTATGTAAATTCTTCAAAAAGATAAATAACTTCAAACACTTAAAAACAATGACCCAATTTAAAAAATAATTGCCTCAGTCATCATACTCAAGGCCTATATTCCAATTTAATAACTCTTGTGCAGATTCTTTTAACTCATCACTGAGTGTTGGTTGTTCTTCTATTGGTAATAACCCTTTCCATTCTCCATTATTCTGTCTGGAAAATACGTTGTTCCATAGTCGGTCTAATAAAGGATTATTTTTAAGTCCATCTTCTCTACGAGGTAATTCATTCAACCAACGACTCATCCATTCTTGTTGATCTGTTGAGCTTTGAGATTCTACAGATAACCCATCAGCAACAAAAGTACTTCCCCAAGGGATTTCTCTTGCAATCAACCCATCAGCCGTTGGAATAACGAGTAAATTTCTAACACAATAACTTTTAATTAATACAAACCTTGCTATACCAACAACTTTTTGTTCTAACATCATGTTATTTAGACAAGTATATATTTCTTCAAATCCATGACATGGTTTAATGACCCATGAGTTTTCTTGAAAATAAATGATTGGAATAGAATCTTTTGGTACAAAAGAATAAAGATGAAATTCTCGTTCTCTTTTTTGTAGTACTTTGTCTCTTCCTAACATTGTTTCTACCCCATCAATTTTTGATGCAGAAGAAAGGTCAGCTGGTCTAAGAAGACTTTTTCCGTATCGGAGAGTTTTAACGACATCTTCTTCTCCAAACTGGGCACCAGAATTATTAGGATCACTTTTGAGAACATAATATTTTTTTCGTTTTTCTACTGGTAATTCATAGTCTGGGACTTTTCTAAACGGTGTGATATGTGACATGCGTGGAAATTTTTGAACTTCATATTGTTTATACATATCAACAAATATTTCGATATCTTTTATTAATGTTAATGCATACTTATAACATGGCTTAGAAACAGGGTTCTTGAAAGGTCGTTTATCTTCATTTAAATCTAAAGAAGGATGTGTTGGGTTGTTCATTAAAAATAAATTTATTTTTTTTGGTTAAACTTTAAGCTCACCTTTTTATTAAATATTAACTAAAAATTAATAATAATCATATGAGTGACTCTGAGTCTTTATCTTTAAGTGAAAGCGATAACTTTTATCATAACAGAAAATTATCAACAATCACAGCTCCTTCTGGTGTTCTTAAGGATGTTATTGATTCAGATAATGAAGATATTAATGATATTTCTATGCATGGAACAAAAGATCGAACTATTGCTGGGAATGAGACAGAATATCAATCTCGATGGAGAAAAAGAGAAATAAGTCCTGTTAGAAAGTGTAGATCATATAAAGAAAGAATAAAACAACATGAAAAAGAAATGAAAGAATATAACGAAAATAAAGAAAAGAAAGAAGTTGACAAAAGAGAAAAGAGTCTTAAAATTAAAAAAGAACATCGAGAAAGAAATCAACAATACAACCAAGATATTAAAAAAAGAGAGAGAAGTGATAGTAGACATAGATCTTATACTGACCAATACTATCCAAAGCATTAAAACAATAACATCATAGAGAACAAATTATTCTCATTCTATTTTACTATACTCAAACTATAATTTATTATATATTTTTAAAATTAATGTTTAATAATAAAAAAATTAAAAAATAAACCACATTTTTATAAAAAAATGAAAACCTTAAAAAAATAATTAAAAAATAAAAAAACAAAACCCTTCGAACTAAAAATAATAAAGGAAAGCTCAAATGGTTTGTTTCAAATGAATTTAATGATAATAAAATTATTTCAATCACTCATTTTATAGGCCACTGTTACTTCAGAGTCTGAATTCCAACACATGCTTCGTGTTTGCAAT